TTATACATTGCAGGGAAAAAGTGTCGGTTTGACCTCATTGACGGAACTTATTCGGGACCTTGTGAAGGTAAACAATCCAGTATCCTCTGCTGTAGTAGCCAAGGCCCAATTTACTTTGTGGAGTCACGGACATTTTGCCTACATCTTAGTCGGTATCATCATGATAGACGCCACCCATAGCACCGAGGCACATCTCGTCAGAGTGAAGTAAGATGCCGTAAGGCTTGAATAGAAAAGTGCCACTTTAATGAATTGTAACTTTGCGCTAAAAATGTAGTTGACAACGGCGCCGACTAAAAGTCTGGAACTGTAGCAAGTCAAGGGTGTAGGACCGGAAATTACCGTGATCACTAAGGAGGATGCAGGACAGGATACATCTTACAAGGTCTTAATTCCACCCCAATAAAGTTGGAATAAATACTTGCGTGTATTAAGACTCGAATATGACTGTCCTGGGACCTTTTCTGTGCTAACATTTTGGTGAAGTTCGGCAAACTATAGTGCTCTCTTGACATATGTCAAATCATATTCGCCTCAATCATTCTATTTTGATATTTCTGCTCATTCGGGTGCCTCTAAAGATATGATTTTGCCCGTATACTCCACTCTCAAAAGCTTTTACAGAAAGTGTAGAGAGGGTTTGCCCTCGATTTGACAGTCATCGCGCAGATCCTTCCAAAAAGACTGGAATACAGGCTCGACCTGCAGCTTCTCGGCGGGGCTCGAATCGCGCATGTGCAAGCTCCGAGACAAACGCGTCTCTCCGTTGAGCCTCACGGCGAGCAGGCGTTTAAAAGCGATGCACGACGCCGTTCGAGCACCTCTTTTTTGAGAACCTCGGAATCCCGCTCCGCATGTCTGGCGGCCGTTCACAATTCGAATCCTGTCGGGAATGCTGGTGAGAGGATGAAGCGATGTGCCAGGTTGGGCTCGCCGCCCAGTCTGATAAGGACTAGCCGTATGAATGCTTTTCGGAGTGAACTGCAATCTAAAATTAAACCTCCGCTTCAATTCATTGCAAATATCATCTCTATTAGCCAAGCTCTGCAAGGCTAACTCGAGTTTTTGGACTCACATGTTAAAAATAAGCACTAATGGTCAATTAGAGTCAAAGAAAAACCGTCCCCAACAGCCGTAAATGATAAGTATCCTCCGCTCTGGAAAAAGAAATGATAAGGTAGATGACAATGTATGAGGTAAATTCGATGAAGTCTTTTTGAAAACAGTTGTAATGACGGGTCGTAGCGACCTCGAAGAAACAACCCTCTTTCTTGGTCCTCTTTTCGTAGATCTCAGCTGGACCTCACGTTGAGCTGCTGGAGGAGCGTGAAGAGAAGGAGATTCAGTCAACTTCAGATAGGACCAGGCGGTTGATTATCTTACACACAAAATTCCTGTCACAATCAAGTCCTCGGCCGAAACCAAGCCATGTCTGGCGCTTGATTCACAGAAAAAAGTGGAGGCGACAGGCCGTAGGCAGTCGGTATCGTCGATTGGGCCGATGGTAAAGGTACCATGCTTGACATGAGGCCAGTGGGCGCCGGTGATCTTATCAAATCGTGAAAAGTGTCTTCATCGCATACCGGTCCTGTTTTGTTGGCCAACCCCTTGCGACTCCGACCTGAACTCGTGGACCCTGTGCTAGTGTATCGGGGAAATATTTCAGAGCAAAGCTTCATTAGGCTTCACTAGGCTGCATTGTACCATAGCTTTAGTCACCTTAGGTTACTTAAGACGAGGAAGGACTAATGGCTGAATTTTCCCAATATCATATGAATTAGCCTCATGATGCCACTGAATCTCGCATACCCTTGTATTCCAAAAGGTATTCTCATCCAGGATAAACTTCGTGGATCTCATCTTCAACCCGAAAATTGTTGAACCCAGGTAGGACAGTGCATAATGTCGACATGCAATTCAGGATCTACGGATAGTGTGGAAACCCTGCTCAATCCGACTATAATATACTACTTCGGACCCGCCTGAGGCCAAATCCAGCATCGGCCATGCCAAAACCCTAACAACGGCGATATTGTCGGCCTCTAGAGTAGTTGCCATCCAGAGGCAGGTTTTTACCAAGAAGTGGCAGGCTGTTCAGGAAGATTCTTCTTCAACTAGCGATACTCTGGTGTGTACCAGAGGCAGTTGGTAGATAAGAGTGGAGCAGATTTGCCGGATGTGCCCATAGGAAAACCCGGCAAGATAACAAGCAACCATTGTTGATTGACGTGTAGCCGGCGCTGCCGACGTTACAAACAAACTTGCGTGTGTGTAGGTACGCATGTGTGTACGGTTGCTTGGCGGCGTGAACATTTGTATGGACCTTAGCGATGTCTGTAGCTGCGTGCATATGCCCAGCATCAAGAGACCTCGATTCTGAGAGTGAAGGAAAGGTTTACTGAATTGAGGGCAGCCAAAATGAGATTAACAGAAAGAAATGACAGAAAGAGGGAAGATATGAAAAAAACTGGGTTTCGAAGAATTCCTTAATGAAGGGGAAGTTGGCTGGAAGGGATTCGTGATGTGGTCTCACCCGAAACCGAAGGAGGATTGCCGCGTAGGGAAGACTGTTGAATTGTGCGAAGAAGTCCTCGGCTCATGGTCCTGCGACCCCGATGAAACTGTGCTAGGCTTTCGTCTGTACCGTGACAGACATCGTCAGAGCAGGAATCCACACTT